AAAAGCCACCTATGAGATCCTGCAGGCACTGCAAGGCATCAGCTCCCAGGGAATGAACCCATCCTGACCCTGCTGGGGTTGGGAATTCCATCAGGGAATTCCACCAGGGAATTTACCAAATCACCACTGCACCGTTTGTTCTGGAGGTCAGAGCTGTCTCCCTTCCACTCCCAGCAGTGACTTTTTTTTCTTGTGGTGTTTTTGTCCCTCAGGGATGGGTACAAAATGAAGATTTTTGCCCCGAGTGTGGAGAGCTCTCCCAGCATGACCTGGGTGTCCAGAGCAGTTCTTGGGATTTCCTGCAAGTCCTAAGAGGAGCTGTTTGGGTCTTTACTTCAGGAATGGTTAATTAATGGTTAATTAACATATTCCCTGGTGGAGAACTTGCTGATTCCATGATTGATTCTCCCTGGAAAGAACGTGGCTGGAAAATGAAAGGTGGAGAGTTCTCAGTCTCTGTGCCACAGCCTTGTGCTGCCTCAGGGCAGGGAGTTTTTTTTTTATACATTTATTTTTCAACTTAAAGATTTTTAAATCCAGTTTTTCTCAGTTTGAGTCTTGCAGGAGCTTCCAGAGATCCCACAATCCAGGTGTGTTTTTCCTTTCCCTCAGGTTTCCTGGCTCAGAGCTGAGCCAGCTGGGAGGAGGAGGAGGAAGAGGAGGAGGAGGAGGAGGAAGAGGAGGAGGGAGCTTCCCAACCCAACCATTCTGCTCCCCTGGGATCCTCAGGAATGTTCCTGGTGGGAAATCCAGGCAGGATCCTCCAGAGAAACGGGAATGGAGTTTGGTGTGGGCAGGAGCCACTTCCAAGGCTTTCAGGAGAGCTGGATCCCAGAATTCTGGGCTTCCCCCCCGGGCAAAGCCGCTCCAGGAGGACACAAACACTGGGAGAAGCCACTTGGTCTTTTCCATCACCTGGAAAAGATTTTTTATTTCCTTCAGGGAAAAAACAGGGAGAAGAATTCCCCTGGAACCTCTCACCCCCTTTCCAAAGCCACTGAAGCGCCAGAATCGTGAGGTGCGTTGGATTTCTCATGGATCAGGGAAGAATAATCCGGAATTTGTCCCAAATTCCTTGGTGTAATCACTGTAAATACGGAATTACTGTACAGATCCTGTGCATCCAGTCCTGGTGAAGCTGTGGTTCTGCTTCCTGAGATTCCCAAAGGTGGGAACACCACTGTGAACTGCAGGCAGCTCGGAATTTCCCCATGGAATTTCTTCTCCCCTCTTTTCTGTATAGCTTGTCACCGTTTTTTTACGTTTTGTAATTCCTTTTTTGTATGAGAAACTTTTTATAATTCTTTTTAAATTTTTTTTTACTTGATTTGTTCGAACTTGGATAGAATTTAGGTTCTTAAAAATGTGAGGAGCTGAAATCCCTGTGCTGCAGGATAGGAAGAAAATTGGGAAAAATGGAACTTGCAGAAGAGAGAAGTGACCAGATCCAGGACTGTCTTGTTTTTAAGGCTGTGGGAGACTTGGGATCATCTTCCTCTGTGTATGTTTGGGAAAGGAAAACATACTTTTGAAAAATAAGGATTAAACAGGAAAAATTTCCATTATTTCCATCTGAATTCTGATTTTTGTTTTAGTTGGATGAAATGTTGGGAAGTTGTTGATTTCCTGGGAGGAGGAGGAGGAGGAGGATGGAAGTTGTTCCTCAGCCTCTGGAAAAGCTGGAATTGCCACCAAGTGCATCCGAGGGGTTTTTTGGGATGGAAATCCCAAAATCTCCCATCCCATTCCAACCCCTGCCAGGGACAGGGACACCTTCCCCATCCCAGGTGTTTCCAAGAGGGAAATTTGGATTTTGAAGCCAATTACAGGGAGCTGCCTTCCCATGGCAGCAATATCCAAAGGATTGCAAAGGATTCCAAGGAACAAAAAAATCACCCTGGTTTTGAAGGAAACCTTGATTTTATTAGTCAATAAATAGAATAAATAGGGAATATCAAAAATAAATCACAGGCTAGAATGGAATATCATCATAAATAAATCAGAGGATAGAATGGAATATCATAAATAAATCCAGGAATATCATCATAAATAAATCAGAGAGTAGAATCATAAATAAATCAAGGAATATCATCATAAATAAATCAAGGAATAGAATGGAATATCAT